GTCATGAAAAGCCACCTTCTAAAGAGCAAGGGGAAAGGTTGCATGCAACACAGAAACACAGCTGGCCTGGCATCCCTGTTTCCAGACTGCCCTTTGGCACCCCACCCAGGGGAGCATGCTCAGGAGTCCTTCCCAACAGTTGATCTCCAGCCTTGGACCAACTCTCTGCCCCTCTTCTCCCCTTTCTTTCTCCTCTTTTTGATTCTCTTCACTCCCTCTCCCTGCAAGAGCACCAAAAAAAAAAATCACATTCTTCTCCTTTCTTCATGCAGAATGAACAGACACTTCTTTTTGCTACAGGGACCTCTGTCACCATGCAGGTTATCCATGATCTCCCTTTTACCCACAAATGCTTTTCACAATATTTTCCCAAATAAAAAGCACTATTATCTCCAAAAGAGGAGTTCGGAGGCCAGCTATAGAGATGCCAACCCAGGCAAACAAGGGTTTCTCTCTGCTGCTTCCTTACTGTGTGACCTTGTGCAAATGAAGTCACTTTTCCTAGTCCCATATTTTCATCTTTAGCATAGGAAACTTAAAATAAAGCCTAAACTCCCTACCAAGGCCTCCAGAACTCTGCATGATCTGAACCCTACCTACCTCCATGTTTGCTGTAGCCCAGAGATACATACTTTCTGTTCCTCAAACACACTTTTTCTTTTCTCAAGAGCCTTTGCACATGCTGTTCCTTCTGCCTGGAACACTGTTCCCTTCACTATTCCTAAGGCTAATTTCTTCCCTTTAAAATCTCATCTTAGACGTCATTTACCTAGAGTAGGTCTCCAGCAGTTATTCTCTATCCCCAGCCCCTGTCTTCACTTCATTTATTGTTACTTGCATTTTAAAAATGTATCTGGTTACTTAATTTTTTCCTGTTTCCCTATCTGTCTCCTTGGTTAGAACGTAAGCTGCATGAGGACAAAGATCTTCTGTCTTATTTGCAGTTTATTTCTGGACCATGAACATGGTCCATATACATTTATGCACACACAGACACACACATACATATACATACAGGGAGATCTCGGAGATATCACAGATTCAGTTCCAGACCACATCAATAAAGTAAATATTGCAATAAAGTGAGTCCTACGAAATTTTTGGATTCCAAGTGCATATAAAAGTAATGTTTACACTATACTGTAGTTCTAGTGAGTGTGAAATAGCATTATGTCTAAAAAACAATGCATAAAATTACAGCACAATACAGTTACTTAAAAAAATAAAAAATTAAATTAAATTTAAAACAATGTATATACCTTAATTTAAAAATCCTTTATTGCTAAAAAATGCTAACCATCATCTGAGTCTTCAGTGTCATAGTAGTAACACCAAAGATCACTGATCGTGGATCACCATAACAAATATAATAATAATGCAAAAGTTTGAAATATTGCAAGAATTATCAAAAGGTGACACAGACATGAAATGAGCAAATGCTGTTGGAAAAATGGCACTGATAGACTTGCTCAAGAAGGGGTTGTCACAAACAAAAACACAGTATCTACAAAGGACAATAAAACAAGATATGCCTGTACATATATGAATAATATGTGCCCAACAATACAGTTGAATGAATGGTTCACAAGATTCAGCCACAGTGCTCTTGCAGAGCCAGGGGAACGTCCCCTCTCCCGCGCGCCTCTCTGCTCACCGTAGGCCACCCTGGCCCATCCTCTCTCTGCGGCAGGAATTTCCATGTCTGGAATGAGAGCTGGTTTGCCCGGCAGGACCTGGGCCCCTCTTACAATGGCTGGCAGGTCCTGGATGCCACCCCGCAGGAGGAGAGCGAAGGTACGGGCTCAGCTGGGCGGGTCCCAGACCCCCGCCATCCCTGCCCGGAGCTGCTGACGCCCACCCCTCCTGCGCAGGCGTGTTCCGGTGCGGCCCCGCATCAGTCACCGCCATTCGCGAGGGCGACGTGCACCTGGCCCACGATGGTCCCTTCGTGTTTGCGGAGGTCAACGCGGACTACGTCACCTGGCTCTGGAATGAGGATGAGAGCCGCGAGCGTGTGTACTCAGACACTAAGAAGATCGGGAGGTGCATCAGCACCAAGGCGGTGGGCAGCGACTCCCGCGTGGACATCACCAGCCTCTACAAGTATCCGGAAGGTAAGGGCCATGAGGCGGCCTCGGTCAGCCTCCCCAGCGACCCGGCTGCCGCAGAGGGACAACAGCCGGCCGCTGGGGCCAGACCTTTCCCAGATGATACGGTGATGATAGCCTTACGCAGCACTGCCTCTGTGCTTTGAGCCCAATGCCTTTATTTTATATGCATAGTTTCCTCCGTTTGCTAAGTAGATTTCCCACGTCTAATAAGAATAATAGCTACATTTCCTTTAACACATGTGTTCCAGGTGCTGTATCATGTATGCACACATATGATAACAATGACTGATCATAGTGATGATAGAAGCAGGTTATTATTTATTGAACACCATGGATACTTAGCACTAGGCCTCCTTCAAAATAATAATGATGGTAGCAGCTCCTGTATGTCATCTGCCAAGGCCTATGCCCTGCTCACTCATTTATGGCCACTGGTTTACTGAAAAGCCTCCACTTGTCAGTATGCAAAAACAAAACTCATGTTCTTCTTCTAGGAGCTGCTTCTGGCTCTAGACTTACAAAAGCAGGTCCCTTAGCGGTGCTGTGATCTGGTCCATACAGGGTCTTTGGGGTCTTTTGTCCTAAGCTTTAAGAGAAATCACCATCCCGTGACGTGATGACGATGCTAGCCGTTGCCTTTGCTGAGCCCCGACTGTGGGCTGGCCATGCTCACGTGTTATTTAATTATATTGTGTAACAAATGCTTACCAAGCACCTCCCACGAGCTTGTCAGGTAGATGCCCGTATAACATTTATTTTACGGAGGAGAAAGCAGAGGTGTGGCGAGGGAAGTGGGCTCAGCCGAGGAACGCGGCCAGTGAGTGGCAAGTCCGCCCCCAGAGCCCATATGCTCTTCTGCTGCTATTTAATTATAATATTTTGCTGCCACTATTCAATTATAATATCATCTACTGTTGATTGACAGCCTACTCTGGGGCAAGTGATTTTACATCTAGGTTAATCATGATACTAGCATCTAAATTTTGTTAAGCGTGGCAGTAAGCCATGTCCATGCATTATTTCATTTAGTATTCATCAAAATTCCATCTTACAGATAATCAAGCGGAGACATAGGGAGGTAAAGTAACTTCCCCAAGTTTCCAAAGCCTAGGAGAGCTGGGATTCTAACCAGACGTCTCCTTTCAGACATCACCTCTGCCCCTCCCCTCTGCTAGACCGCCCCTCTCTTCCCTGAGGGCTCACAATGTGCCTGGTACCATGCCAGGCTCTTCTGTGTGCTCCGGAAATAAAGTGCCTCCTACATGTCAGGCAGGATTCAGAGGCAGGGGAGAAAGAGAACTCACCATCTCGAGAGCTGACTGTGTAAGGATAGGACAGGTGATCAGCACGGTGTTGGGGAGGCCAGAAGGCTGGAGAAGCACAGATGAGGGGTCCGTAGCCCAGCCAGAGAGAGGTCAACAAGAGCATCCCATGGAAGGGAATCCTGACGGGAGTAAGATTTAGCCAGGAGATGAAGGGTTGGGAAGGCATTCCAGAAGACAGACCCCTATGCATCCTGATTCCAGATTCAGTCTAAGCTGTGCTGTTCATCCAAGCCATGGGCATCCCATTCTGTGGATGAGATGACAGGACCTGTCTGCTTGCTCTGTCCACTGAAGCAGGAGACATGACAGAGCACAAATATTCAGAGCCCCTGGGGGCGATGTGCTTTGCTCTCACCCCTGAGTCAGCCTGGATGCTGAGCAACGAGGGAACCAGCCTTCCGAGCAAAAGAAACTGTACGTGCAAAAAGCACACCAGCCGTCCTCAGATTCTGGTGGCCTTTCTGCAACAAGCTTCAGGGTAGAGGGGAGGAAGGCAGCCTCCCTGCTGATCTTCAGGCAGAGGAACTAAACACGGAGGCAGGATCTTAGTCAGAAGCTGATGCCAGGGGCTCGCAGGGGAGCCAGGCTGGCGGTTCAGCCATCTGCCTCTGGGCCTGCATGGTACTGCCTTGGAGCTGCCATAACAAGTGACCATAAATGCAGCAGCTTAAAACATCAGAAATTGATTCTCTCACAGTTCTGGAGACCAGAAGTCCAAAATAAAGGGGTTAGCAGGTCTGCACACCCTCCAAAGGCTCTAGGGGAGGATCCTTCCTGATTCTTCCAGCCCCTGGAGGTCCCTGGCATTCTTCTGCTTGCAGCTGCCTCACTCTAACCTCTGCCTCCATCTCAATGCCACATTTTCCCTCCATCACCATCTCCTTTCTCTTACAATGACACCAAGCACTGGCTTTAGGGCCCACCCTAAATCCAGGATGATCATATCCCCAGATTCTTAACTGCATCTACAAAGACCCTATTTCCACAGAATGTTGTGTTCACAGGTACCAGCGGTTAGGACTTAGACACATCATTTAGGGGGACACTATTCTGCCCACTGCAGCCTGTGAGGGGAGAAGACTGAGCACCTGCTGATCAGGGCCTTGCCATCTAGGCAGGCAGAGGCCAGCATGTACAATGGCTGTTGGGTGGGAGCTGAGAGGCTGATCCACAGAGACCTGGTGACCAGCCCCCAGGGATCTCCCCTTCCACCTTCTCTGTCTCCTCCCCTCCCCCCGTTACTCCTGCTGTCTATCTCTTCCTCCACCTCTCTGCTGTCCCTTCTCCCTCCCTTCCGTCTTGCATTTAGTGGGTACCTCCAAGTGCCAGGTAGGAGAGTGGACAAGATGAACAGGAAAGCAGACAGTCCCAGTACAGCGTGATGACGTCAGCCTGCCAAGGTGCAGAATGGCCGAGGGGACAGCATGGGGGAAGGCACTGCGTGTTCAGGGTACAGCAAGAGTGAAAGGGTCATTAGAGGCTCTTTTGTACCTAAAGGACTTCGCACAGATGCTTTCTCTGCCTGGGAGGTCCTGCTGACTTCACCCCAAGCCTTTGTCTGACCCAGGGTCTCAGGACTCTATTGATTTTCTTCTAAGAACATATCGCAATTTGATATTTGCTTGAATCTTTGTCTCCCCAGCAACTAGACTGTGAGTTCTAGGATGGCTAGAAACCTGACTGTTTTGTCTCCAGCTCCTATTGCAGCATCTACTGCACAGTAGGTGCTCAATACAGATTCGTGGAATGAATGAATGCAGGCTGAGAGCATATAAGGGCTTTGAACGCATAAGGACTTGAATTTGTACATTGGAGAGCCTTACTTTATTGATTGTAGGATTGCCTTATGTTACAAATACATGAGGCACATTTTCACGTTTCTCTGTGTTTATATGTATTTAATGAACATCTACTGTGTGCTAGGCACCCAGAGAGCAAAATATATATGACCCTTGTCTTAAAGGGGCTAACATTCTAGTGGAGCAGATAAAAATAAAGAAAAAATAAAATCAATAGCATTTCAGATGGTGATAAGTATTCTGGGGGAAAATAAAGCAGAGAAGGAGTTGAGTAACAGATTGGGAGGAGGTGAGCATTTGGCATTTAAAATCAGGTGATCACTAACAGATATGTATAGAAGACCCACCGAAGAGCAGCAGAATAACTATCTTGGCAAGTACAAATAGAACATAATCCAGGATCTGACCATATGCCCATCCATAAAACAGGCTTCAGTAAATTTTTAAAGGATTGAAATCATACAAAGCGTATTCTCTGATCACAGTGGAATAAAATTAGAAATCAAAATCAAAAGAGAATTTGGGGAATTCACAAAAATATGGAAATTAAGCAATACATACACCTAAATAATCAATGGGCCAAATAAAAAATCACAAATGAAATTAGAAAATACTTTGAGAGGAAAGAAAATGAGAACGCAACATGCCAAAATGTGTAGGATGAGATAAAGCAGTACTTAAAGGGAATTTTATAGCTATAAACACCTCTATTAAGGAAGAGGGATCCCAAGTGCAGTAATCTATCCTTCCATTTTAAGACACTAGAAAAAGAAGAGCAAATGAAACCCAAAGAAAGCAGAAAGAGGAAACACAAAAGATTAGAGTGGAAATAAATGAACAACAATGGAGAAAATCAACAAAACCAAAAGTTAATTTTTTAAGAAGATCAACAAAATTGACAAATCTTTAGCTAGACTGAGAGAAGACTCAAATTACTAAGATCAGAGAGGACATCACTACTAACCTTACCAAAAAAATTATAAAGGGTGTGAAAAATAATAAATATTAGGTGTTTGTCCCCAGTTGTTGGACACAGCTCCTAAAACCCTTGGAATCTCCAAGGGTGATAAGAATGTCTTTTGCATGGCAATGGGATGACTAGTGCCTGGGGGACCCCAGATAACGCAGGATGGGGGCTGGTTACCAGAAAGACCAAAACATGATTAGAACATTAGAACTTTCCACCTCACCTCCAATCTCTGGGGATGGGAGAGGGACAGGAGATTGAGTTAAATACCAATGGCCAATAATCAGCCTGATTAAAGTCATCTATATAAAAATGAAGTTAACATCATATTTAATACTAAAAGATTGAATGCTTTCCCCGCTAAGAACGGGAAAAGACAAGGATGTCCACCCTTGCTGTTTTGATTCAGCATAGTGATAGAAGTATTAGCCTAGGAAATAAGGCAAGAAAAGAAAAATAGAGATCTTTCCACAAATGGTGTTGGGAAAACGGGATATCCACATCTAAAAGAATGAAGTTGGACCCTTACTGTACACCACTCATAAAAAATTAACTCAAAATGGATCAAAGGCCTAAATGTAAGACCTAAAACAATGAAACTCTTAAAAATAAGCAAGAGAAAAGCTCCATGACATTGGATATAGCAGTGATTTCTTGGATATGATGCCAAAGGCAGAGGTAACAAAAGAAAAACAAGTTAGACTTCATAAAAATTTTAAACTTTTGTGACATTATCAACAGAGTTAAAAAGCAACCCATAGAATAGGAGGAAATATTTTCAAATTACATATCTGAAAAGACGTTAATATCCAGAATATATAGAGAGCTCCAAACACTCAACAGCAAAATACAAACAAAAAAAGGGCAAAGGACTTGAACAGACATTTCTCCAAAGAAGGTGTACAACTGGCCAAAAAGCACATGAAAAAAATGCTCACATCACTGAGCATTATGGAAACAAAAATGAAAACCACAATGAGATAACACTTCACACCCATTAGGATGGCTACTATCAAAAAAAGAAAGGAAGGAAGGAAGGGAAGGCAGAGAGGGAGGGAGAGAGGGAGGAAGAAAGTACAAAAAGAAAAGAACAAGTGTTGGTGAGAATGTGGAGAAATTAGAACACTTGTGCACTGTTGCTGGGAATTTTTAATGGTGCAGCTGCTGTGGAAAACAGTATGGAAGTTCTTCACAATATTAAAAATATAATTATCAGATGATTCGACAATTTCACTTGTGGATATTTACCCAAAAGAACCGAAAGGAGGGACTTGAAGAGATATTATACCCATTTCCTTAGCAGCATTATTCACAGTAGCTAAAAAACATGAAAGCAACAGATGAACAGATAAACAAAATGTTGTCTATACATACAACGGAGTATTGTTTAGCTTTAAAAAGGAAGGAAATTCCGACACATGCTACAACATGGATGAAACTTGAAGACACGCTAAACAAAATAAGCCAGTCCCACATGGACAAATACCATATAACTCCACTTATATGAGGTACCTAAATAGTCAAGTTCACAAAGACAAGAAGTAGAAATGGTGTATGCCCGTGGTGGGGGAAGACGGAATGGGGAATGTACTGTTCAATGGATACAGAATTTCAGTTTTGCAAGATGAAGAGTTCTGGAAATGGATGGTGGTGAAGATAACACAATAGAAGGAATGCACCTAATACCAGTGAAGTGTACACTTAAAAAGGTTAAGATGGTAAATTTTATGTGATGTGTATTTTACCATGATTTTTAAAAATAAAAATAAAGAAGGAAGAAAAGAAATTAAAAAAGGAAGGGAGGGAGGGAAAAAAGAAAAATAAATAGAAGAATTTCCAGATTGGAAAGGAAGAAGTCTAACTATCTCTAGGTGCACATGACATGGACATGATCTTGTATATATAAAATCCTAAGGAATTCACTAAAAGCTATTAGTGCCAATAAATGAGTTAGGCCAAATTTGAGAACACAAGACCAATTTTTAAAAATTAATTGTATTTCAGGACACTAGCAATGTATAATCTGAAAATGAAATTCAGAAAACAAATCCATTTACAATAACATCAAAAGAATAAAATACTCAGGAATAAATTTAAGGAAAGAAGAGCAAGACTAATACACTGAAAACTACAAAACAGGTTGAAAGAAATTAAAGATCTAAATAAATGGAAAGACATCCCATTTTCATGGATTGGAAACGTTATATTTTTAAGAAGGCAATGAGTCAAAACTGATTTATAGATGCCACGGAATCCCTATCAAAGTTCCAACTGAGTTTTTTCCCCAAAATTGACAAGCTTTTCTGGAAATTGACTTGGAAATGCGAGACACCTCAAATAACCAAAACAATCTTGGAAAAGAAGAACCAAGTCAGAGGGCTCATACTTCCCAAATTTAGAACCTTCTATAAATATACCTTAACCTAGATAGTGTGGTTCTGGCATAAGAATAGACATGTAGATCAATGGAATAGAATCAGGAGTCCAGAAATATACCCTTAAAATTATGCACGATTGATTTTAACAAGAGTGCCCAGACAATTCAAGGGGGAAAGAATAAGAATAGTCTTTTCAACAGATGGTGCTGGGATCACTGATGAGCCACATACACAAGAATAAAACTGGCCTCCGACATCACACCATACACAAAAATTAACTCAGATGGATCATTGACCTATATCAAAGAGCTAAAATTACAAGATTTTTAGAAGAAAACAGGAGTTAATCTTCAGAGCTTGGGTTAAGCAGAGCCTTTTTAGATATGACACCAAGAGCACAAGTGACAGAAGAAAAAAATGATAAATTCAGTTTCTTTAAAATGAAAAACTTGTGCTTTAAATAATGCACAACTGTGAATATACAAAAAAATTGGCTTGTATTCTTTAAACAGGTGAATTGTATGTTATAGAATTAACATATATCTGAATAAAGGTGTTTTAAAAAATCAGGTTTTCAGAGAGGGCCTCCCTGAGAAAAGGACATTAGATTTTTTTGGCAGGGAAATGGAACATTTTCTTAGTAAAATTATATTATGACTACATTATGGAGTAGAGCGAAAAATTCACATACATTTTAATATACATAAATATAACATAATAAATAATAAAACATGACATGTTAAAGAACCTTTAGGTCCACATGGATCCCTTGAAGCCCAGGTCACCCAGCAGTGAGTACTTGGGGAAGGAGCAGTGGGGAGACGGCACAGCACAGGCTTCAAGAAGGAAAGTGGAACCATCAGAGTTGGATTTTGGAATGATCGTGGTGGAAAATGGACTGAGGGTGGAGGGTAGGGTGGAGCCCACATTTCCAGGAAGGGAGGGGACATTCTCAAGCATTGTGCTCAGTGCCTTGCCTGTGTGCCTCTTGTCCCCACTTCACAGATGGGAAACTGAGACTTGGAGGGATGAGGTAATGATAATAGTAATAAAAGTTCACAGTCATCCGGGGGCAAACTGGCCTGATGGTGAGACAATTTAGATGGTGGTCTGAGGGGAAAAGAATGATGGGAGAAGGGGGCAGATTCCAGAGATCAATAAGGATGCTTGGCAGAACTTGCTGACTGATCAGCTGTGGGCGGTAAGGGTGCGGGAAGAGTCAAAGTCACTTCCAGTGTCCGGCTGGTGCAGTGGGTGAGTGGTGGAGCTGTGTGCTGAGACGGGGTTGCTGCTGGGCAGAAGCAGCATGTTCAGTTGGATCCGAGACACCTGTGGGACATCCTGGGGGTGGGGGCTGTCCAGCTGTGAATTGGTCTGGAGATCGAAAGAGAGAGAGAGGGGTGTGTGTGCTGGCAACAGGGAAAGTGGGAGATCAGGGGTCCTAAACTCACATGTCTCCAGGAGCCTTGCAGATGGTACCCATCAGTGCAGCAAGCTGGTGGGAATTACAGGGTGGAGACCATGGAGAGCCAGCAAGTACATGCCCGTCCAGAAAGAGCACCCCTTACTCAATATTGTAAATGAGTGGGAGGGGAAGATGATTAAGAACATGGCAACTGGAGCCAAACTGCCTGGGTTCAAACTCCAGCTCCCTTACAAGTTGCTTTACTTCTCTGTGGTCCCTTATCTGTAAAATGGGGGTAATAATTGTACCATCGTCCTGGGGGGAAATATATATATACATACAACCTAAAACTCTAGCGCCTGATGCATAATAAGTCTGCAGAAGTGTCAGCTATCATTATCATGTGAGGCTTCAGACCCAGCTGTCAGAGAAGCTGCAAATCTATATTGTCATGTGAAATTTTCTGTTTGGAAATTGTTCACAACTGATTTTAAAAATATTTAAATTGTCCCAGAACCAAACACAATGCATATGTCTGGGGTCTGCGTGTGGTTCTTGGGCTGCCGATTTGAGACCTCCAACGTGGAAAATTGAAGTGCGGGTGGAGTGGTAGCTTTGCCTAGAGAAGAGGGGAAAGGAGAAAAGATGGCCCTGGGACGAGCGGTGGAGGAAGAGGGTGCCTGCCTCAGGATGCCTGATGCCCTGCAGGGTCCAGAAAGGAGAGGCAGGTGTACAGCAAGGCGGTGAAGAAGCTGTTCAGCATGGAAGTGTCTGGAAGGAGGACCCGGGTCCACAGAGCCGGCGGCCGCGGTCTCTGGCGTGATGACCTCCTGGAGCCTGCCACCAAGCCCTGCATCACCGGCAAGTTCAAGGTGCTGGAGCCGCTCGTGCTGGGCCATGACCTGAAGCTGGCCCTGTGCTTGGGCAACCTCACCTACCGGGCCCAGCAGGTCCAAGTCAACCTGAGCGGCGCCACCATACTTTACACCCGCAGGCCGGTGGCAGAGATCCTGCACGAATCCCACGCTGTGAAGCTGGAGCCTCAAGAAGGTAAGAACGCCACCACTGGGTGGGACCTGGTGAGCCCAACCCCTTTCCCAGGAGGATGGGGGGGAGGGGGAAGATGGACTTCCCAGCATCCTACATTCATTACCAGCAAAGAAGGGAATATTTCTAAGCTTTGCTCAGTGCCTTGCCTCTTGTCCCCACTTTACAGATGAGAAAACTGAGGCTCAGAGGAACTGAATAATGAGGAAAGTAATCCACAATCATCTAGTGGCAAACGCATAATGGTGAGGTGGTCCCAGTTAGTATGAATATTTACACACCAAATAAATACCTGCTGGGAGCATTTCATAATATGTAGAGCACACCTTGTGTTACCTTTATAAAATCCAACAAATTCTGGAGTCCATGTGGCTCCAGGTGTTCCATATGAGAGGAATGGGCCAGTAAGAGATGTTTAAGTGCCTGCTTGTGCCAGGCCCTGTCCTGAGAGTTCTGCAGGCATCAGCCACAACCCCCATGACTGTTTTCAGTCCTCTCCCCTCCCGTCCCCTCTCTGTCCCCTCCCCTCGCCTTCTCTCTCTCTTTCTCTCCACATATATTCTGAACTCTAAGAATTCAATTAAAACAAGAAATTATTCCTCTGAACCAGTTTCTGGTAGGTGAGGTTTGTATGTTTTGACAGGGTGTGAAAATATGTGAAGGAGGTATCACACATTTTTTGCTTGTTTGTCACTTATTTTTCAAAAAATCTAAATCATAAAATAACACTTCACAAAGAAATATTAATTACCATGCACTTCTCCTGGCTTCCTTTCGTATTAAAAGTAATATAAATTCATTAGATTTAGAGAGCACAAGAGAAAGTTCACCTGACTCTGCCACCCACCTACAAATTGTTAACATGTTTTCCTTCCAAGTTTTTAAAGCCTGTTGCTTTTTGAAAAATAGTTCTAATTATATCGTGCACACTCATTAGTGCCCTGCTCTTTTCACACTACATTGTAATTTAAATATTTTTATAAGCTCTTCATTCACACCATTTTGCAATTAAAAAAAAACACCAAAGTAAGCATCTTGGTGAAAAAAAAAATCCCTTTTTTGGTCTAGATTTTTGGACTGTTTTGTTAGAATAGATTCACAAAAATGGAATTACTGAGCCAAATGGTATAGCTATTAAGTATATATAATTTATTAAAATTTATCATTGTTTAAGTTAATAGACTTTTTAGCAGTTTGGATTCGGAAAAATTGAGCAGAAAGTCCAGAGAGTTCCCATACACCCCCTCACCAACTTCTGTCTTCCCCTATTATTAATGTCATGCATTAGTGGGGTACATTTGCTACAACTGACAAGCTAATACTGGTGCATTATTATTATTAACTGAAGTCCATAGTCTGCATTAGGGTTCACTCTGTATTGTACATTCTGGGTTTTGACCAACGTATAGTGACATGTATCCACTATTAGAGTATCGTATAGAATCGTTTCACTGCCCTGAAATTCCCTGTTCTTTACCTATTTATTTCTCCCTCTCTCTCCTCAAACCCCTGGCAACCACTGATCTTTTTACTGTCGCCGTAGTTTTGCCTTTCCCAAAATGTCATATAGTTGAAATCATACAGTAGGTAGACTTTTCAGATTGACTTCTTTCACTTAGAAATACGTACTTAAGATTCCTCCTTTTTTATTTTTGTTTTTTTGTAGCTTAGTAGCTCATTTCTTGTTATCACTGAATATTATTCCTTTATATGGATGTACCAGAGTTGATTGATCCATTCACCTACTGAAGAATATCTTGGTTGCTTCCAAGTTTTGGCAGTGATGAATAAGGCTGCTATAAACATCCATGTGCAGGTTTTGTGTGAACATAAATTTTCAACTTACATGGGTAAATACCGAGAAGCATGAGTGCTAATGGTACAAGAGTATGTTTAGGTTTCTAAGAAACTGCCAAAGGACCTTCCAAAGTGGCTGTAACATTTTACATTCCCACCATCAGTGAATGAGGGTTCCTGTTGCTCCACATCCTCTCCAACATTTGGTCCTGTCAGTAGTTTGGATTTTTGCCACTGTTGTTTTAATTTGAAATTCCTTAATGACGTATGATGCAAGCACCTTTTAACAGGCATCTGTACATCTTTGGTGAGTTGTCTGTGTAGCTCCTTTGCCCATTTTTTAATTGTGTTGTTCATTTTCTGATTGTTGTTGTTGAATTTTTAGAGTTCTTTGTATATTTTGTGAAATAGTCCTTTGTCAGATGTGTCTTCTGCAAATAGTTTCTCCCAGTCTATGGCTTGTCTTCTCATTCTCTTGACAGTCCTTTCACAGAGCAGAAGTTTTTAATTTTAATAAAGTGCAATTTATCCATTTTTTCTTTCATGGATCATGCCTTTGGTGTTGTATCTAAAAAGTCAGTCATCACCATATGCAAGATTATCTAGGTTATTGCCTAGGAGTTTTACAGTTTCACATTCTACATTTAAGCTTATGATCCATTTCGAGTTCACTTTTATAAAAAGTATATAAAGTATGTGTCTAGATTCTTTTTACTTATGTGGATGTCGAGTTGTTCTAGCACCATTTATTGAAAAGACTGTATTTTCTCCATCTTATTTCTTTGTCACAGATCAGTAGACTGAATTTGTGTGGGTGGGTCTATTTCTGGGCTCTGTTTTGTTCTACTGATTTATTTGTCCCTTCTTTCACCAATACCACACTGTTTTGATTACTGTCATTTTATTGTAAGTCTTGAAGTTGGGTAGTGTTAATCCTCTGATGTTGTTCTTTTTCTTCGATATTTTATTGGCTGTTTCGGGCCTTTTGCCTCTCCACATAAACTTTAGAATCAGTTTGTCAATATTCATTAAATAACTTGCTGGGATTTTGATAGGAGTGCCTTGAATCTGTAGGTCAATTTGGGAAAAACTGACATCTTGACAATATTGAGTCTTCCTAGCTATGAACATGGAATATCTCTCCATTAATTTATTTATTCTTTGATTTCTTTCATCAGAGTTTTTTAAGTTTTCCTCATATACGTACATATCTTGTACATATTATGTTAGATTAATCCCTGAGTATTTCATTTTGGTGGTGCTAATATAAATGGTGTTTTTAAATTCAGATTCCACATATTTATTGCTGGTATATTAAAAAAAGTGATGGAATTTTGTATGTTAATCTTATATCCTGTGACCTTGCTATTGGTAATAATTGTTATAATTCGCTCCAGGAGGTTTTTTTGTTATTGATTCTTTAAGATTTTCTATATAGACAATCATGTCATCTGTGAACAAAGACCGTTTTATTTCTTCATGGTAGCTGACTGACCCGAATTTGAATCCTGCCTTATCTTGGCTCCTTGATTTACTTGCTGTGTGACACTGGACAAGAAACTACCCTCTCTGAGCCTTGAGTTTCTTAATCTGTGAACCGATGATAATAATGACTGTCTCGGATTGGTTGCAAGGACCACAGAGAGTATTAACTATGAATTGAGCCTTCCCTTCCTCCTTCTGGGTTCCTTTGAAAAGGAACATCGGACTCCCAATCCTCACCTCTGCTCTCCTTTCCAGAGAAAAACATCCCAATTGCAATATCTTACTCTCAATATAAGAAAGACCTGACAGAGGACAAGAAGATCCTGTTGGCTGCCATGTGCCTTGTCACCAGAGGAGAGAAGCTCCTGGTGGAGAAGGACATTACTCTGGAGGACTTCATCACCATCAAGGTGACTCCTGTCCTGCGTCTGCACTTGTTCCTGACAGGCCCCCTTTGAGCTGCGGGAGGGCATTGGAGGCTGGGGGTTTGTGCTTGTAACTCTGGCTTCAGCTCTCAAGGGTGGGGATAATTGGTGTGGATGCAGGGGGATAGATATAATGATAGATCCCAGTGAGGGGGTGGGTGGACACAGAGAGTAGACAAGGTTAACGCCCCATCCTCTGACCGAGCCAGGATCATGGGTTTCCTTGGAGAATGGGGAGGAGGGGGGATGACTTACGGGTATTGCCCCTCCAGGTGCTTGGCCCGGCCGTGGTAGGGGTGGCAGTTACGGTGGAAGTGATGGTGGTCAACCCCCTCTCTGAGAGAGTGGAGAACTGTATGCTGACGGTGGAGGGCAGTGGCCTTCTCCAGGGACAGCTCAGCATCAAGTAAGTGTCAGCCTGAGGGTGGGAAGGCTGCCTTCGTTATAAAATGGGACATAAAGAAGCTGCCAGCAGGGGGAGGAGGGAGAGATTCTGGATCCCCAGGAACCAGCCCACTGCGCAGACACATCAGCGTTTCTTCATTTATTCATGTCTTTCCTTATTTAATCATTAACTTATCCCATCGATCATATAACTCATCCACCCGCTCATTCACATTCATTCATATTTTTTCTCATTTATCCATTTACTTATTCATCCACTACTCTTATTCATTCACTCTCTCCTTCACTCATTCATTCCCTCACTTTTTTATTCATGTTTTCACTCACTGATTCACTTTTTCATTTATTTACTCAACTCAGTTTTTTTTTTTTTGGCAGGGGGCAGATAATTAGGTTTGTTTATGATGAAGTCACTGGGGATTGAACCCAGGACCTCCTGCGTGCTATGCATGCTATTTACCGCTGAGCTATATCCTCCCCCCTCAACTCAGTTTTGACTGGTTCATTCATCCACTCATTCTTTAATTTGTTCATTCATTTACCTATTCATTCACTCATTCATTCATTTATGCATTCATTCAACTCATTCACACATACTCCATTTGTCCATGCACTCATTTATTTACTTATTCATTCTTAATCATTACTCATTCATTCTTTCATTCACTCACTCACTCACACGCATGTGGTCCTTGATCATATTCACCTGTGGTCTGACCCACATTTCAACTGCTAAGAACACCAAGCTGAACAGATGGGGCTCTGCCTGGAGAAGGGCTCTCAGTGACATATGACCCTTCAAATGAAGACAGTGTGATTTGTGCAGAAGGATGGATCCCCGAGGTCCAGGGGCTCGGAGGCAGCCCTTGAGTGGGGTGGGGGGAACCAGGGAAAGTCCCAGTGGAGCTGACATTCAAGCTGAGCCTTACATGATGACTGGAGGAGCTTCTCAGGGACCAGGAAGGATGGAGAGCTTCCCAGTCTGATGTCTCCATGGCTGGTGTAGTCAGGGAAGGTCTCCTGGAAGAAAGAGAACTTAAGCTGGCTTTGGATGTGATTGGAAAGGCATCCTAGGTAGGAGGAACCATCCAGACAAAAGCCCAGAGGAGGGAAGTGTAAGTTATGTTCAGGGCACGGGGAGGAGACCAGCCTCACTGGTTGGAAAAGGTGAGAAGTGGTGGAACGGACGATTAAGCTAAAACCATATTAAAAGGCTTGAATGTCAAGCCACAAGGTATGACCTTGATTTTGAGGGCTCTGGAGAGCCACGGACTAGCAGACCAGGCTCAGGAAGCAGATGGAGCTGATGGTCTGCCTTTCTCCATCTCACTCCCCCAGTGTGCCCAGCCTGGAGCCCCAAGAGAAGGCCTCAGTCCAATTCAACATCACCCCTTCCAGGAGTGGCCCAAGGCAGCTGCAAGTAGACCTCGTCGGCCCCCACTTCCCGGACATCAAGGGCTTTGTGATCATCCACGTGGCCACAGCCAACTGATGGGCCATGAGGGGCTGAGAGGGGAGATGACCGCTGTTCCCCTCCTGTCCACCTCTCTGCCCTTCCCATGTGGGAGCCAGAAGGCTTGGGTTCCAGTCCTGCTGCAGTTTCTGCCCTCCTCCATAAATTTGGGCAGGTCCCTCCCCTCCTGCACCTCAGTTTCCCTGTCTGTAAAATGAGACTTAGTAATCCTTAAACTTTTGGACAATGATGGATGATGCCTCTAACACCTTCATCTCATCACCCTGGTATCTGGGAGACTGATGGACCGAGCATCACAGTAACCAGCCCTGCCACCTCCCTCCAGCCAGTTCACCATCACCCTGGCTGACCCCTGGGCTTCCACCTGCTTCTCTCTCAACCCTTCAATGCTCTGACCACATCCAGACCCAAGAATCTCCTCCCAGCCCTAATGGAGGACCCTGAAGTCTTCAAGCTGAACCTAAACATCCCTCACCACTCCCCTTTTACACAAAGGAGAGAGCCTGGCCCGTGGCCACGGGATGAGCTGGAGGCAAAGCTGGGGCCTGTGTGCATCCCATTTATACCATCAAAGTTTTACCCCAAAATCACATTCTTAGAAAGCACTGGGTTTGAAGTGATGGGAGAATTTCTCTCAGTAAAGACACAGGCCCAGCAACGAGGGGGCTACTGCTGCCAGAAGAAGCTGAAGACAGAGGAAGGGCCGTGAAGCCTGGTTGCACTTGGGGAGAGAGCCCCAGATCTGCTCTGGCTGTGGTCCTCAGGGATCTCACACGACCAGCCCAGCCACACCCAGTGTTTATGTACTTCTCTGGAAGCAGAACAGTGTTGGCTTTGAAAAACACCCCCAGCAGCTTACCCTACACACAATCACACTCTCAGAATCGAAACAGAACAGAGACTTATAGAACGAGGAACAGAGTGGAGGCCAACAGGCCCTGAAGGTAACTGCAGCAGACGCGGAGCCCAGCTCTGAAATGTTCTAGGCAGCGGAAGGGATTAGAGCTCATCATTTAACCTAAGTAACCCGAACAACAGCCGAACAGGCTCACCTGCGGTGAGAGGCAGAAAGCAGGTCAGGAAAATACAGACAGCCTCTGATGGACGATCCCTGTGACTAAGGCCTCAGTGAAGGCATTTCTCTGATGGTCCCACACAGCATGGGGACCGCTTGGCGAACCCAGATGAGCGGGTGCATTTAGCGAGTCAGGCGCACAGGCTGCCTGGGCTGCAGGGCTCCTCTCGAAACCAGCCGAAGATTTTGGGTGCTGATCTCACACAAGAAGAGCGGGGGAGGTTCAGAGCTGGCAGCCATTTCCTCAAGACTGAGCAGCAGGAAGGGGCCCTGGGGGCTGAAGTCAACAGGAGGCCATCTCCTACTCTCCGTACAAAGGACACTCCTGTCAGCAGGGAGACCGAGACCCCAGACACCTCATTCTCCCGGCAAACGCCAGCTGCCTGTCTTCCTGGGGCCTGGCTGTCACAGGCTGAGCCTCCCAGGAGGGACTCCGGGATGGAACCTGGGGGGCAGGGTGTGGATTGAGGGGTTAACCCCCATGGAAGGGATGGGGAGGAAGGAGAAGGGGCTGCAGGAGGAACTGAACCATGATGCAGGCCCCGCGACAGCCTGGGCTCAGCCGGCCGGCAGCCCTGGAGCTAGAGTGCGTGTGTTTGAAGAAGGCCAAGTCGCTGAAGGTTATGAAGGCCACCTGCCAGGTGGTTCTGTCTCCAGTTCAGCGCCCCCGCCCTCCGTCCTCTCAGCTGAGCTGAAGTCGTGCTTCACTGGGACAAAACCGGCCCCACAGGGCCTTCCAGCTCCAGCTAAAAGCAGAAGCCACCCCCGCAGCCAATGAGGGCACCCGGGTTGGAGGTGGGACAGGTGGGGACACTGAGACAAGACAGCCAACAGGAAGGTATGGATGGAAATGTTGCTTCGCAAGCTGCAGAGACAAATGTGCAGGTAGAGATTACCTGTCGGGGGTAGGGCAACACCTTCACGGAGGAAGGCGGAATACGTAGTTCAAGGCTGCAAAACCTTACAGACCTGAGGCTCAGGCCTCCCCCTGCTTCCTTTGAGTCCCCTTGGTCCCTCAGTTGCTGCCATGCCCTTCGGGGAAGTTCTCGACACTGAGTTAGGTCATAATCTGGCTTTCACATGTCCGAGAAGCCTCCAAGCCTTCAGAACAGGGGTGGGCAAGCGTTTACTGTCAAGAACCAGATACACAGTAAATATATGAAATATCGGGGGATTTGCAGGCCCCGTGGTCTCTGTTCCAACTACTCCACTCTGCCTTCCTAGCGTGGAAGTGGCCAGAAACCAGGTGTAAACAAATGAGTGTGGATGCGTTGCAGTAAAATTTTATTCATGAAAACGGGCAATAGGCCAGGTTTGGCCCTCAGGTTATGGTCTGCTGACCGTGCTGTGGAGCAACGTGCTGCCTCAGCTGCTCGCTTCAGGACTGAGTTCTGACGCCAGGCTACGCCCAGCCTGGGATCAAGCCCAAACACGGACGGAGGCCAAGCCCTGAGCAAGCTCTGCAGGGGACTCTAATGAGGTTCCAGCTTGTACCCGTGACCTTAGATCAAGCCATCACTCAGAGCCACAACTGGCCAGGCAGGGTCATGACCCTGATGCAAGCATCAGCCTTGGCCTTGCACTAAGCCCTGGCTCCTGCTACACCTAAATCACAACTTGACTCAGGCCCTAGACCAAGCGCTGACCCAGCCCCAGCCAGTCCTGGCCCCAGACTGAGCTCCAGTCCTGATCTCTGATTGAGCCCGCACCCAGGCTGAGCCCTGAGCCCATACAGAGCCCTGATCTTGGTCTGAACTCCGACCCAACACTGTGCCCTGATCCAGCCTTTTTCCAAGTCCTGACCTCAATCAGAGATTTTATTCAAAAAACTCTCTCCTTAGAAAGTTAGAATTGAAAGATTCAAGAATAACAATGGCAAATATTTATTGACCACTGCCTCTGTGCTAAACTCATTGTGTATATTATACCTCATTTAGATGAGGTTCTGTCATCCTGTAACACTGAGATCCACTTGGTTTTTGCTGTTTGACTTCTGACGGCTTTCAAGCCCATAAGAAAGCTATGGGCGCCCCCCCGTGGCACCTGTGGGAAGTTCAAGCCCTGGTCCTTTTGTGGGACCTCACCATGGCGCCGGCCAAAGCGCAGTGAAATGGGACTATCACCCCTCCTTGCTCTCTCAAGCCATTTTCAGACCTTCTAGGACCCTGCCCTGCTCTCCCAAGAAAGCCTCATTATGTCACTAGTAAACCCTTTCCAACCCCCTTGATGCTTGTACAGGGTCATCAGTCTCAGATACACAAACCAAATCTGGTGGAGGGCTCAGTCCTGCCCACCATGAGACAATAGGACACACCCCCATTTTATAGATGAGGACAGTGAAGCTCAGAAAAGTTACTCATCATTCAGTCACTCAACATGCGTTGAGCGCACAGAGCAGTGAGAATCAACACGGATGAATTCCCTGTCCTTGGTAGAGTTGGGGAGGTAGTTCACAGAAAAATATAAATTGTTTTTAAATATATGAAAATATAACCAGTGCCCCTTAGAGCTAAATAATATACTAATTACAACAAGAAGATGGTTTTAACTTATCAGATTGAGTAAGATCTAACACTGTAACAACACACTGTGTTGGCAAGGATTTTAGAAACAGGCACGTGTGCACACTGCTATGCATGAGGTAGGACAATACAACCAGAGGGCTATTTGGTAGATCTGTCAACGTTTTATAACTACTGTATATAAAATAGATAAACAACAAGTTTCTTCTGTATAGCACAGGGAACTATATTCAATATCTCGTAGTAACCTATAGTGAAAAAGAACATGAAAATGAATATATGTATGTGTATGTATGACTGTGTACCAGAAATTGACACATTGTAAACTAACTATACTTCAGTTTAAAAAACAGCAAAAAAAAAATTTAAATGTAGTAACTCTACTTTTAGGAATTTATATACATAGACAAAGGTGTGGCCCCACAACTAAAGAGGGGCAGGACTGGAATCTTCCTTCTCTCCTTAAAGTATATATTATTCCTGTATGAGTATTTGTAGAAAATTAGAACAATACAAAAAATTAGGAAGAAAAAACCAACCCACAGTCCCAGCATCCCTGAATGATGCTGAGCCCACACACTGGCTGCTTCCTTCTTCCTGGCAGAGCAATGCTGCCTCCTGACGGATTTTTTTTTTAAGTACATTCATTATTTTACCACTTCTAATTTTTTAAGTGTATTAATTTTTTAACTAGGTAATGCACTCACACGGTTCAATATTTTGAAAATTCTAAATGATATAGAGTAGAAACTCTCCCATCTCTTTCTGTTCCTCTTGAACTAGGGTCCTTTCTCCACAGGCAACCGAACTGGCCAATTCCTTTATATAGCCTTCCAGAGATATTTTATGCCTACACCTGGATTGAGAGTTTCTTTTTTTTTTAAACTATTTTTTAATTGAAATATAGCTAATTTACAATGTTGTGTTAGTTCCGGGTATACAGCAAAGTGATTCAGTTACACATGTACATATATACATATCCTTTTTCAGATTCTTTTCCATTATAGGTTATTACAGGATATTGAATATAGTTCCCTGTGCTATACCATAGGTCCTTGCTCATCTGTTTTATTTATAATAGTGTGTATATGTTAATCCCAAACTCCTAAAGCATTTCTTTCTACTGCCTGCCTTTGAATCATGAACATTCCTCCTAAAAAGTTAGAAAATCCAAAGAAAAATATTTCTACAGAAAATATTCATTACTGCCTGCTTCATTACTGAGTCATGGGAAATCAGACATATTATGAATTCCCCAAATAGAAAGAATGGCCAAGTTGTGTTATACTAACTGGATGTGCATCCAGTAATTATTATGAAGATTTAAGTAATAACATGGAAAAGTATCTATCACAAAAGTTTATTTTTAAGAGAATACACAAAATAGGAAACAATAGAAACAAATCCCTACTTTGAAATTTAAAAAAAAACAATATATCATTTTTCAGCTGTCAAACTAAAAAAGTATGTTTCTTCTGAATGATATTTATCAATTCTGAGAAGCATGTTGTGCAAAGTGTAGTTGTATCTGTTTTGTAACAGAATAAATCGACTCATTTTAAGAAATTTAATTAAAACATTGACATCCTTTGACTCAGAAATTCCTTTTTTAATTATCTAAATATAGAATAATCTTTATGCAAAATTATGGTCATCACATTTTTTTGTTAATAGGAAAACTAATCTTAATGTCCAACTACTGAGAACTAATTCAGTAAACAGTAGTTTGTTCACTTAATGAGATACTAAAGTCATAATGTTTGCAAAGATTTGGGATATATTTTAATCTTAAAAGAAATAGAAAGTTGAGTATATTGTAATATCATAAAACCCAACAAGTAGACAAGGCTAACATTGCATGCTTGGAGTTTGGGGATTCTGAGTAATTTCTTTCTATAGTCATTCTTTATGAGCATTTACATAAAAAATAGTTTTAAAAGAAACAAGCAGAATCCATAAACTGTGGAATAGTATGCATGTGGGTCTGGCCAAGTACAATTTAGACTTAAAGCCAGCAGCAAACCTAATGCCTTTATTATTTCATTTAGTCCTCATAGCCACAGACCAATTTACTAAGTGAACTACTGTTATAGAGGCTTAATATGAAAACTGGAAAGGAATAAAGTCTGTAAGCAGGTCAAAACACATTAGGATTCTCCACCCAACCCTTTCACCTACAGGGACTTAGTTCTTTTAAAGATACAGTGGTATATTTGTACAATGGAATATTCTACTCAGCAGTTAAAAAAAAGAATAAAATAATGCCATTTGCAGCAACATGGATGGACCTGGAGATTGTCATTCTAAGTAAGCCAGAAAGAGAAAGAAAAATACCACATGATATCATTCATATGTGAATCTTTAAAAAAAAAAAAAGAAGAAGAAAAGAGGACAATAATGAATTCATCTACAAAACAGAAACAGACTCAGACATAATGAACAATCCTATGGTTAACGGTGGGGAAAGGGGGTGGGAAAGGATAAATTTGGGAGTTTGAGATTTGCAAATGTTAACCACTATATATAAAAATATATTTAAAAAACAAATTTCTTCTGTATAGCACAGGGAACTATATTCAATATCTTGTAATAGTCTTTAATTAAAAATATGAAAACGAGTATATGTATATATATGTATGACTGGGACATTATGCTGTATACCAGAAACTGACACATTGTAACTGACTATATTTCAATTAAAAAAAAAATTTTTTTAAAGATACTATGGTCAGAATGCCCTGATGTCTGATTGCAGATTTCTTTTGTTCATTCAATGGTTCTCAAAAGCAGGAGTGCCAAAGATTATTCTAGGTAGGGTTGTATACACAAGACCAAACTTCAAGAGGGTTTTAGTCAATTTTCAGGAACAGTTTTGAGCATCCAGGGTTTTTACTTTGCTGGCAACTAGGCAGTGTGTGACTCCATGTTTCTTTTTAATTGACTATGCTTGTTGTTTGTGTGATAGAATTAAGAGGCCCTGCCTTTCAGCTCAGGCTAGGAATACAAAACCCTTCCACATCACTCCTAGCAGGTAAATGGGAAGCGAGCCAGAGGGTTGTCTCAGCCCTGCTTTGCAGTTCATGGTGCTCAGGATATGAGTTCCTGTGACATGGTCCGAGCCAGCCACTGTTTCACCAAGAGCTGCTGCCTATGTCACCTCCCTGATGTCCTTACTCCTCAGTCTTCCTCCGTGGGACTATCCTTCCCACAGTAGAAAACCCTAGTGAACTCCGTGAGAAAACTTTTTTCCTTCTTTTTGTTTTTTTTGAGGTAAAATTCACATGAAATGTTACAACTCAGGAGTATTTAGTGCATTCACAATGTTGTGCGTTGTGCATAGAGAGCTGGTAATCTCTCTCTAGTTTCAAAAACTTTAATCCCTCTTAAAAATACCCCATACCCATTAAGTAATCACTCTCCATTTCCCCCATTCCATCCCCATCCCTTGGTAACCTCTAATCTGCTTTCTGTCCCTACAGTTTTACCTATCCTGGGTATTTCATATAAAAGGAATTATACATGCTCTTTTATGTCATCCAAGTAGCAGCATGTATCAATACTTCATTCCTTTTTCAGCTGCCTAACATTCCAATGAATGCATAGCCCACAATTGACCAAGCCACTCATCCACTGATGGACAGTTGGGTTGTTTTCACCTTTGGCCTATTATGAATAATGCTGCTACAAACACTTGCATACATGCTTCTATGTAGACATGTATCTTCATTTCTCTTGGATGCACACCTAGGAATGAAATTGTTGGGTCATATGGTAATTCTGTTTATCTCTTTGAGGAACTGCTAGATCATTTTACCTAGTAGCTGCAACATTTTACATTCTCACCAGCAATGCAGGAGGTTCCTATTTCTCCACATCCTCACCCACAGTTGTTTTATCCCATTTACACTATCCTTGAGTTGAAGTGGTATCTCACAGGGGGTTTGATTTTTTTTATAGTGACCAGTGATGTTGGAATTGCTTTTCACTACTTGTCCATCTGCATAGCTTCTTTGGAGAAACCTAAAATTCCTTTGTTGGCTTTTTAATTGGACTGTTTTATCTTTTTGTAGTTTAGTTGTAAAAGGTCTTTATATAGTCTGGATATTAAACCCAAATCAGATATAAGATTTCAAAATATTTTCTCCCAGATTTTACTTTTTCACATTCTTGATGACGCAGTTCCTAATTTTGATGAAGTCCAATTTATATTTTCCTTTGTTTCTTATGTTTTGGTGTCTAAGAAACTATCACCAAACCCAAGGTCATCAAGACTTGTTTTCTTCTTGTAATTTATAGCTTTAGTTCTTAGAGGTCATTGATCCATTCTGAGTTACTGAGTGATATAGGAAGTGAGGTAGGTGTTCAACTTCATCCTTTTGATCGTGGCTACCCACTTGTTCTAGCATCATTCGTCAGACTATCCTTTTCCTAGTGAAGGGTCTTGGCACTCGTTGCCATATATTCAAGTGTTTATCTCTGGATTCTCAATTCTATTCCACTGGTCTGTCTATCACTACGACAGTACTAGCTTCGATTACACAAGCTTTGTAGTAAGCTTTGAAATCAGAAGTGTGAGACATCGAACTTTGTTTTTTCAAGATTGTTCCTGCTATTCAGGGCCCCTTGCAGATTCACAGAATTTGAGATGAGCTTCTCCATTTCTGCAAAATAAAAGCCATTGGAATTCTGATAGGGATTGCTTTTGATCTATAGATCACTTTGGGAAGTATTGCCATTTTAACAATATTAAGTCTTCCAATCCATGAACATGAGATGTTAATCTAGGTTTTCTTTCAGGATGTTTGTAATTTTCAGAGTACAAATGGTTAAACTGATTCTTAAGTATTTTATTCTTTTGGATGCTATTGTGAATGATTTTTTTCAGATTGTTGCTGGTGTATGAAAATACAATTAATTTGTGTGTGATCTTACATCCTGCAATTTTGTTGATTTCATCTATCAGCTCTAGGAGCTTTCTTATGAATTCCTTGGGGTTTTCTATATATAGGATTATGTTAAGTTTTACTTTTTCTTTTCCAATTTGGGTATCTTTTTTAATTGCTCTGGCTAGACCTCCCAGCACAATTTTGAACAGCAGCGGTGAAAGTGAGCACTCTTAACTTGTCCCTGATCTTAAGGGTATAGTTTTCAGCGTTTCACTGTTAGCTGTTCTTTTCATAATCCCTGTGTTTATAAATTTCCCTTCTATTCCTAATTTGCTGAGTGTTTCTGAGTTGGAATTTTATCAGATGTCTTTTCTGCATCTACTGAGATGATCATGTGGCTTTTCTTGTCCTACTGACTTAGTGTATTTGTTTTCATGCTGATTGTTTTCCATGCAATGACTGTTTTCATGCATTGCTTTCACCTTCATATTCCTGAAGAAACACCCCCATACTAATCACACTAGTCTTTTTTAACTTAAAGTCTCCTTTGCATTTAGAATGGTCCTCCCCCTAGACAGTAATTTTAAAAGGTCCACTTTATTTCTGTATCCTTTAACCTTGATGTGCTAACTACTAGAGTACTGTTCAGTGACCATCTCATCAACTAATCAGACTTTGGGTGGAAGAAATTATGGATGTCCCACAATCCAAAAACTGGATTATATTATATGTATGCATGTGACCCTGGGAGAAAGTTATACAAAAACTGTTCTTCTTCCAATAGGATTAATTTTCATTTTTAGTATTTGCTTCATTCTTTATTGTAGAAAAATATAATCCAAAGTACTGCTCAAGAAATTATTTAGGTAAGTGCTTTCCAAAGAGAATATACCAATTCACAATTCTCATCAGCAGGGTATGAATGTTTATTTCAACAAAATGATCTTGGCCAGTTTGACAAGTAAAAATGTCTCCCTGTAGTTCAATTTTGTAATTGTCTTGGCATGAGGCTGTACATCTCTGCAAATAATTAGTATTTTACAAGGGAAGCAACTAATATTAGGGATGATTTTTCCAAAGCAACCCTTCTTGACTGTTATTAAGTACCCAATATGTCAAAGATTTTTCTTAAAATAAACAGACATACCAGGTGAATTCATATTATTATCTTAAGAATTTATTATAAACTAGTTTCACAGGCCACAAGGAAGTAAAGGACTATGTACAGCCTTACGGGAAACAGGCAGGGAGCAGAGGAGGGCCAAGATGAGTCTAGGGCCTTGGTGGGTGCATTCCTGGGGGAGGGGGCCCTGTAAGGGAAACCAGACAATCCGGTGAGACTCCGCGAACAACAGCATAACAAACAAACAGGTCTGTGGTAACGCAGCCCTGGGGAATTGGGCCCACGCCTCTGTGGAGCTACTTCCATAACTCTGTGGCCAAGGTCAAAGAAGGCCTGAAGTAAGAGTAAGAAGTTTAGTCAGTGCCTGATCTGCAACTCAAATTGCCACCCTACCCCAGCCCCCTACACCCTGCAGTTACCAAGTGATCAGAGGGATATACATAGCAAATGTGCTAAATGGGGACTTCTCTGAGGCCAACTAGGTTCCTATGGTTGTAAAACCCATAAATGGAAAACCCAAACTAGAAATATAGGGGTCAGCAAGCTTGGGTTAACTTAAAGACTACGATGGCTTGCTGGAAAGAACACTGGTATGGGAGTCAGGACACTGAGCTCTCTCTGGGCCTGTTTCCTTATCTATAAAATGAGAGGGCTGATCTACATCAGCATTTCTCAAACTAGAGTTAAAGAGATACATAGTAAATAGCGCAGAGCAAAGCCCACAGCCCCCTCCTTAAAATTACTAGACACTCCCAAGCCAAAAGGCCTAAGACAATTCCAAGACCTTTGTTAGTCACGCAATAGAATGCATTATTTCAGTGCCCTGAGAATACTGCCTTGGATACTGAGAAGCACCCTGTGTTGAGGGCTGCTCTCACTGTTCTAAGAGGGAGGTGAGGTCAGTTTGAGAAATGTTTGTTCCCTCTTTTCCTTCTGGACAAAGATGTCCTTTAAGAGTTCACTTTCCTAGGCTTAAGGCCTGAAAGTATGGTCAAAATCCAATCTCCCTACATTTCCCATCCCAACATGGCTCTAGGGAAAGAAGTCAACACCCCTGCTGCAGGCACTTACCTCGCATCCCTGGGGGAGGGGGCCGCATCCCCGGTGGGGGCATGCCCATTGGAGTTCCTCGTCCAGGGGGGATCCCCATTGGGGGACCCATGGGAGGCCTCATACCAGGAGGTGGGCCCATCATGCCTGCAAGAGAAAAGCCCCAAGAATATAGATCAAGTGTCTGTCTTGACAAGGTAGCAGGAAATACACAAAACTGTCCACCAGGTTCTGAGACAGATGGACCATTCCACTCTCCCAGTCCCTCCTAACAAACTCAGACTTGAGCCAAAGAAGTGAGGCTCTTGTCCAGCTAGTTCCACAGTCAGTTAGCCAGGCTGGATTTCAGAGTAATCCTGCTTAATTACACAAACTCGTCATCAGTTTCAGGCAAGGTTATGTCTCATCATGAATCCAGCTAAGGCATCTTTTAACTAGCAACAGTCTCCTGATGGGCTCCTCACCTGGAGGGGGTGCCCCTCGGCCCATAGGTGGGGGAGGACCCGCACGGCCAGGTGGGTACTGGGTTGGGGCCCCTGCGATACTGGCTGTAGCAGCCGCAGCAGCTGCTGCGACAGTGCCTCTTCCTTGTGGGGTCATCACCTGAGAGGACACAGGAAAGACGTTAGGCAAAACAGTACAGTACGATGCTGTGTTCAACTTTCCTCCACAACTCAGTAAAAGAAATAGCAGATGTCAAATCCCCTACAGTACAACTCATGGCATGAGACTTCCTATCTAAAACTATCTGCCAGAGAAGATCAAGCTTGAATGCTCAATTCCCATCTTCTAGGCCTAAGTTAAGGATGCGCAATCCAAATCAGAAAGGCAAACAGGACTGGTAATAAAAGGTTGTAAGAGAGTACAGCTGACCCTCGGACATGAGTTTAAACAATCGGGGTCCACTTATATGCAGATTTTCTCAATAAATACATACTACAGTATACAATCTTGGTTGAATCCACAGATACAAAGACCAACTGTAAAGTTATATGCAGATTTTGACTGCAGAGTCGGCATCCCTAACCTCTGCACTGTTCAAGGGTCAAATGAATGCTTCAAATTGTTGTCACGGGAACACTTTGCTCAAATACAGCTGGCCAAAATACTTTGTTATGCATCTCTTTAATAACATCAACATAATATATAAAAGCATGTTTTCCTTTTTGCTTAACTCTGGGACCACATATGAAGCAGCACAGTGAAACACCGATTGCCTGACAAAGATCAGCTGGTCATTCTGGACTCCTCCCAAACTTCTGACCCTCAATCTTTTATTTTAATCACCAGAAGCTGGTACCCTTCCCCAACTCCTCACCTGCTGGGACGGCCCACCAACCCCACGGACTGGCCCAGCAAGTCCTGCAGGAGCCTGAGGCATGGGAACACCAGCCGGAATTCCTCTGCCAGCAGCCCTGCCAATCCCTGGGCCCCCAGCAGCTCCAGCAAGTGGCACTCGGGCAATACCAGTCTGAAAAATAAAGACACATGCTAAAATGCTTATGACCTAGAGAATCAGAAGTACATTTTGAGCCAAGAGAATCCCTCAGATTTATAGGGCATCGTAACAGCTTATAAACACTACCTACCCCTTATGTGTTAACACCATTCCTCCTCCACCCAAGATTGCATGCCTAACAGGCTAGAAGAATTTAAGAGGAAATCAAGAGAAACATGCCACAATTCAACCTATATGCACGCCTGTGAAAATTAAACAAAGAGCCAGGGCTCCATTCAGAAGGGTGTGTACGGTAGACAAAAGCATCTGACCTGGCATCAAAGAGACATGTGGTTCAGTCCTCTCTGATTCTCACCCGGTGGGTGACAGTGGGCCAAGGACACCCACAATTCTAGGACTGTTTCCTCATCTGCAAATGACGCTGTTATGATAAAACTAGAAGGTTTACAATGGGCTACATTAGAGTAGCAAATTCTACTGGAATCAGACACCAAGAGTTATGAATAGGTACATATGCTGTGAGCCAAAAATATGGTAACATCCCTTGCAGATATTTACATTTGGGAAAAACCTCAATGTAAGTGTCCAAAAAGAAGAAATAGCTAAGATAAAATACTCTATACTCACTTAAGAGAGTATTTTTAAGTCATTTATATAACTTTTTAAAAGTATACAGCAACTGGAAAAACTTTACAATGTTAAGTGAAAAAGCAGAACGACATATTACATACATATTACACATTAAGTAAAAAAAAACCCAACATATATGTGGACAAAAATAAAAACAAGAGGATTATTCCTTTAATGTCTTCAAATGAAAAACGGAAAACAAACTTGGTTCGATTCTCTAAAGCCTCTACTATTTCTAAATGTAGGCTCACATTAATGAACTAAGATTGCCTGGAATCAGATGCCAGTTTTACCACTTACTTGTTGTGACATCTTGGGCACATTACTAAACATCAGTTTGTATTATCTATAAAGTGGGAATGGTTCATCTCAAAAGATTGTTACACGGATTAAATAACATACTGAAGAGCAGATGCTCAATAAACGTTAAGTATTATTCTATAACTATACTATATATATTCTGTTTGGAGTTATAACTTTTTAAGGTCCAACTAGACTGTCATCACATTTAACAAATCACCCAGATGGCCTTAGGTGCCTCTTCTAATGACTCACTATGTATATTAACAACTTAGGAAGAAGGGAGGGCTTTAAAGTTAGAAATCCTCAAATTCTAGTTCCTCATCTCTACTTCTTACTTGCAAGGTAGACTTTTTAAGATTTGTTTTTTTCAATCTGTAAAAGGGGAACAAAAACCAGAGGATGCCTGTGAGTACAGCGATGAGAGAGCCCCGCACAGAGCCTGGCTCAGGATGGGGCCGCCTTTGCACAAGGCTCCCTGGCCCTGTGCTGGCTCTCTGCTCTGACTTACATCTTTGGGAGGTGGTCCCTCTACTGTCATCGAGACCAGGTTCTCCCCTCGAAGTAGCACCAGACCAAGGACTCGCTTTTCTTCTCTTTCTGCTTGTTTTGAGTTCTTTGGTCTAAAGACAGGTTTAGGAGAAGAAACAAAAAAGCAAGCATCAGAAAAGGGGTGAAGTCATGCTCACCTACCTAAAGGCCCTCCAAGATTTGTTTTATACTCTTATCTACCGACAAATGGTACACAGACCTTCCCTAGGACAGCTCCTCTGAAGAGTCTTCATAGGCTGACTTATAACCCCTTAGGTGGCTGTCTCCCAGGCCAAGAGGATATACAGACCAAGAGGCAGGTCAGTTGTCAAGAAAGCCTAGCTCTGGCTCACGCAACGTACCCTGTCTCTCCCTCCAGCTTAAGGCCTCGCTAGTGTCAGGCTGCAGCCTAAATAATTCTTCAAGTCAACTGAATCCCACTCACTCACTTACATGTAGTATCCTTCTAATACCAATTTAACCCCACAGACCTGTAACTCCATCGCTCACTTCATATTAAAAACAGAAACCATAAAGGAAAAAGTTAAAGAGTTAACTATGTAGAAAGTACACCTCTGTCCTCAAAGAAAAACAGAAATCTCCCAACAGCAACAACCAGAAAAGGATGAGCAAAATATAAATGAACGTAAACTGGGAAAAATAATGGCAACAAGATAGGGAAAGGACTGCCAAAGCAAATATCCTAAAAATAAAGGAAACACAAAATACCCTGATTTTTCAAAGTAACTTAAAAGTTTCATTTTAATGATATTTTATATTAATAGTGGTTTTCTGTAGATGGACTTTTCTTTTTTCAGCTTATCTATATTTTCTTATTTTTTAATAAAAGCATGTATTTCCCTTTCACAATGGGAAAAAAAGCCTGGGTATTTTAATTTTTTTCTCACATACTTTTACATACTTTAAAAAGATATTTTCCAATAGGCACTTTTTTATTATTAGAATAAAGTTAGTTTCATTTAACAAGACAGAAAGAAGAGAATCATTTGAAATAGTTCTACACTGATCTACTGGCTGACTGTGCCCCTGACACTCAGCCATCCCGACCACATGTTCTGTCCTGTACTACTTGACCTCATGCCAAAGAAAACAACAGTCCCAGAGGGAATCAAAGGGAATTCACAGCCACTGGCAACATAATATGGAAGCTGCATATGGCAAAAGAGAGCTGGATGATCATGGCAGTCACATAACCTCTTTGGGCCTCAAGATGCCCTGAATGTAAAATAGGACGAAAAGCCAGACCACATCTTTTAATAGGCTAGAAGCTTAAGATCTGAGTCCTAAGGCAAGGGAGTCATCAACTGACAAAACGGCATTGTAGGAAAGTAGAAAAGTATCTCCAATTGTTTCTCTAAATGCCAACAAAAATCACTGGCCCCAAACCCACAAGGGGAGCTGAGCACTTACCCTGAAGAGGGTCAGAGGCTTCTTAAAGCAGTTTCAGACCAGGCTGCATTGGGAGAGCCCTTTAGGCTACAGCTTTACAAATAGGCAATGAGGCCAGAAAATCAAGCTCTCCCCCCTCACACACCTGTGGGGAGAACATGAGAGCCCTTTACCCCAGTACGCAGGGGCATGCAAAGTCAGAGAAACAAAAAGCCTAGCCCTCCTTACAACTTGTACTCTGCTGAGTGTAGAGAGCAAGGCTAAGGAAGGAGAATTCTTAGCATCCAACGTCCCCATTTAAATCTGCCCTCTAAAACAGGAGAGCAAGCCGAGAGGAACCAGCTTCATCACCACTTGTCACTTGACCCACCCACCCAATCCACTCCCCACCCTCCCAATCCCTCCCCCGCCAGCCCACTCCTCACTTGATCTTCCTGAACTCATCACAGTCACAGAGGATCAAATTCATATGCTTGTCAAAAGCTTTAAAGGTGCCAATGAAGATGCGGCCATCTTGCAGGATGCACCTCATCCTGTAGTCGATGTGCTGCAGCATCTTGCTGCTCTTGCCCACAGTCTGCAAGGAGAAATTAGCAGGAATGAGACTCAGTTCTTTTGGACCCACAAACCCTTGATCTTTCCTTAAAACTTCTGCAGAGGCCTTCTTTTCCATGCCTGTCTTTCTCAACAGACTCTCAGCTCTGTCTTCCAGCCACAGCCCTTCCCTGGGAATTCTCCCATGTCACCCTGATTTCAGCCCTGACCTATTACTCCCCCTTCCCTTAAAATCACCTTTCTCACATTACAATTGCCTTTGTCTATGTTGTGAGAGGTAAGATGTCTCCAAAATAATGAAACCCACCCATACCAGAGATTAGCCATCTGCCATCCTGTACATTACTGGTGTGATTCCAGGGCTATGGAACACCAACATCCCATTAAAAAAAACTGAATAAAAGAGCTAGAATGGGACTGGCAGTAAGAATCCAATCAACAGAGAGCTTGTTATAAGAAAAGAGCTGATCAGTTTGGAAGTGAGAATGGAATCCCCAAATCAAGAATTAGCATTAAAAAAAAAAGTTTTTTGTTAGGGTCTCCATGACCGCCTTTAAGAGAGGAAAACCTCTGGTGACCAGAGTGCTAATCAGTTTGAACACATAATGAGAATATATAACTTGCTGTACTTCTTAATTAACCCAACAACCTTTTCTGCTTTATAGCCTGGCTTCCAGTGTAGTTTTGCTAACTTATCCAAGTGTCTTCTAGGTACTACACACTGTGCTTTCTATTCATCTCTGTGAGCTGGGACAGAAACAGGTTTTCTGAACCTACATATATGTCTTGATCAGAATGTTGACTCCACCCTGGAGACCCAGATTATATGGTTCAGTCTTGTTTAAATGACCATTTTAACCAAACTGTAATCACAGCTTCTAACCACAGAGGTCTGAACCTTTATGGCAACATTTATTGGTCCATATGCCTCGTATAGCTGGCTCTTAATGGGTGCTCACTGGCCAGCACTGCCATTAAGCACTATTCATCTCACTTCATCCTTAAAATCAGATTTTACAGATGAGACCACTGAGGATGTAAGAGGTTAAACTGTGTCGGAAGTTAGTCAATTGGAATCCAGTGCCAACTCTTCTAATCAATTCTCCAAACAATATCCTACTGTTTCCTCGTTTCCAGTTCACCCAATATATAACAGATACAGAACAGTTATCTTTCTAAACACAACTAAGTTCATGCCATTTTGGAGGCTAAAATCATTCAATGGCATTCCTCATCACCAACAAGATAAATACATGTAAAGCCTTTAATAAGCGGAATCCTGCCAATTCCTCCCACCTAATCTTCCATCTCTTGCCTCCCTTTTCCCCTGCAGGAATTTCAGTATAGCACTATCCTTCACAATTTGCTCTTTGCAGTCCTTCGGATCTATAATATTCTCTCCCATTTTCGCTGAGAAAAAGGCTGACAATCTTTTAGGACTCTGCCGGGAATCATCTACTCCAGAAAGCATTCTTACCCCGCCCCTCGCCGTTACTTTTACTTAATGCTCAATTACCACTCCGAATTATATTACCCGTGTCCCCAAATAGTGAACTCGGTGAAGAAAGAAAACACTGCATTATCTAGCCCCAACGCCTGAAAAGTCAGACATACTCAACACACACACATGCTGAACAGATGAGTCGAACTTTTCCTTCAAATACTCCTTGACCCTCCCGTTCCCTCCTTCCCATCTACTAGGCCCATGACTGTAGTTTCGGTCACAAGCCCTTCCATTTCCTCAACTCTTTCTCAGACCCTCACCCGCCTTCCTAAGTCTGAGCCTCTCACCGGACCTTCCCCAGCCTTCCTGTGGCTCCGCCTGCTCCGAAACCCCAGACACACATTTACGCTGCGAAAGTTTACTCAGCTCCTACGGGATCCCGAGCACTGTGCCTACGGCGGCGTGGGGAGCCGCAATTCTATCCTCGCCCCCACCGAGCGACCCCGGCCTGCGTCCCGCAGTACCAAGCTTCCCCTCCCCCACCCCGCCAGCAACCAAAGTCTGGGTCTTTTCTGCCGGGACAGAGGGGCCGAGGCTGGGGCCTTCACCGCCCTAAGCGGCCAACCCACGGCGTGCTCACCAATCAGCCGCGGTCCCCACCCCAGAACAGATTCTAGAGCTCCCGCGCCCCAAGTCTGCGCCTCCTTACCATGGTGGCGGTTTTGATGTCTCAGATTCCCGCCGGATTCGCCTCCGCGGAGGCCTAAACGCCCTCCACTACCCAGCTTCCCGCCGCCGCTACCGGAAATTAGGCCGCGGGCAAAGAGGGGCCGGGTAGAAAGCTGCTTCCGGTCCCGGCGCCCGGCCCTAGAGTTCCGGCCAAGGCGCGGAGCTGAGCGCTTCGAGCGGGGCGGGGCTTGGGACGGCGCTACGCTTAAACAGAACTCCGAGAGGCTTAGGATCCTTTGTTGGACGTCTTCCTAGTTTCTGCCGGAACATGAGCTTCTCCTCTTCACCCTCATATCCCCCACACCCCGCGCCCCAGCCCTTTAACTTTCGGTTATCTCCCACCGCTCTACCCCGGCTTTCTACTCTACAGCCATGGTCCCTGCTTTTCCGTGAACTTGCTCGAACGGCTTCTGCTTCAGCACCTTCGCATTTGCTATTGCCTCTCCTGGAATGCTACGCGTCCAGGTATGTGCGCGGCTCACGCGCTCACTTTCAAGACGTAAGCTCTAATAACATTTTCCCCCTGAGGACTTTCCTGGCCGTCCTGTTAAAACGTGCAACCTTCCCACCCATCCCTGCTTTTTCTCCTTAACATTGATCACTAACATACTATATATATTTGTTAGTTATTTTATTATCCCTCTCTATTAGAATTTAAGTACCAAGGGTACAGAACACTGCTTAGCACAAAACAAGAGCTTAATAAATACTTGAATGAATCAATCAATCAATCAGTCCCATCCAGTCCCATTACTTTTGAAGGCTACCTATATGCTCAGGTTTTTCAAATTTATCCCTCTAACCTTGAGCTCTTTATTTTAACTCTTGGCCTTTTATAGCCAGCTGCTTGCTTGACATGGATGTTTAATAGGTATACTAAATTTAACATGTTGAAAACTGAATTCTTGATTCTAGTCACTCTTCTTCCCCAAACCATTTCTTACCAGTTTTCCCTATCTCAGAGGTTTCTTGGATTAATTTTAATTTTTAAAAAAACCGACAAACTTGGTAGTATCCTGATTCCTCTTTCTCTCCCATCTCATAGCCAGTCCGTCAGCAACCCCCATGGACCTCACCTTCAAAATGTCTTGAATCAGGCTGTTGTCACTTACGCCACTGCCACCATGCTAGTCCTAGCCACCATCATCTCTGCCTTGGATCACTGAATGAGGCCCTACCTGGCCTCTTTGCTTCCTCCCTGCTCTCACAGCAACCAGAGGGATCCTTCTATAATGTACTGGGATTATATCAGATCTTGTCATTGCCCTGCTCTCCACCTCCCTGTAACTGCCCAGCACACGTGGAATAAAATCCAGCCCTGCATCCCTCTCCAGCCTCATTTCCCTCAACATTCTCCTCATCATCCTCCAGCCACACTAGTCCCCTTCCTGTTCCTCAAACCCAGCAAGGAGAGCTTTCACCCCAGGGCTTTTTAATCCTCACACCATCCGTAGAATTTATGTTCTGTCTCTCCGTTTCTGTCAACCTGTAGATGAAGAGATGGAAGCTCAGCGTGATGAGTTATCTTGCCCAAGGTGGCAGAGTCAGAACAGGAGTGTGGTGCCATCTGTCTCCTCAGCTACTTCCAAGTTCCAGCATGCATTTTAAAATGTTTATTTAACATCTACTAAGCCATGCACTGTTACTGGGATACATTCCCTTCCCTGAAGGAATTTATGTTCTAGTGAGAAGGGCAGACAATACACCAAACAAAAAGTATACAAAGTAATAGAGTGATGGGCGGATAAATAAAGTAGGGTGAGGGGACTGAGAGTGATGAGTTGCAAGCTTGGCTAGATGGGCAGGGAAAGCCTCTCCGAGGAATGGCTTGTGAGCAGAGAACTGAATGAATTGAAGGACATTCCAAATACTTCATTGTAAAAGGGATCATACAATATGTGGTCTTTTTTAACTGCCTTCTTTCACTTGGCATAACGTTCTCAAGGCTCACCCCTGCTGTGGCACGTATCAGTGCTTCATTTCTTTTTATGGCTGAATAATATTTCATTATATGGATAAAACCACTTTTGTTCATCCATTCATCACCTGTGGACATTTGGGTTGTTTCCACCTTTGGGTTATTATGAACATTTGTGTACATTTTCATGTGGTCATATGCTATAGTTCTATAGTTTTAGTTCTTAAGTTTAGCACTAATGCACTTCTGTGCACAGCTTGAGCTGGCGCAGCTAAGGGAGGCTGCTGGAGCCCTGGTGTGCATGCACGTGGAGCTGAGAGGGTCAGGGGAACAGCAACCAGGCTGGGGAAGCCCTGAGTCTCTGCACAGGATGAAAGTCAGATGACCTGCCTGCCAGAGAGCTGGTCCAGTGGGGCCCCAGGGTGTGTGCCCATGGGGCTGAAGAGAGGATGCAGAAGCAGCTGCCTGGGCTGGAGCCCAGGCCTGTGCTATTTGGGCTCCTGGCTAAGCCACCATCACCACCACCACCATAGGTGGCCCATTGGTGGAGAAAGCTGTGTGCTGCAGGCACTTAGCATGGGAGAAAACGGCACTGGCCGGGGAGCAGGAAAAAGTACTCTCCAGGAGCCGGGTGAAAGAGCCACCTGCACCAGGAGACTCCCCTTCCTCCTGCAATGTCACTCCAAAGCCCACTACTGATGCACCTCATCCAGCTGGCAAAGGAAAATTATTATTATTTAAAGGGCCCAGATCCATTTTCACAGATTAGGCAACAAAAGGTGAATTTGGAGCTGAGACAATGTATTGATAAGTGGCACCATTCCACACACCCAAACATACTCCACCATGCAAGTCAGCACAATGCAGGACTCAGAGGGGAAGAGAGGCTAGTCAGTTCAACCTACCCTCTAAAGAAGGAACCATTCTTAATGAGAAACACAGATAAGATGTTGGCTTTCTGCTTGGATTCCTGGCATGATGGGAGCTTTTTATCTTTTGCAAATGTTTCTATTGTTGGAAAGCTGTGTTTGTGGGAGTCACTTTAAATTCTCTATCTTCTACATCTGGGCAATCACCAAGTGCTTTGAAGACAACCCTATGAAGTCTGTTCTCTTCTAGCCCACATGACTGTCCCAAGTTGTCCTGTAAATTTTGCCTGGACACCTGCAGTTCTGGCAAAGGGACACAAGGGTGAATGTGGCAAAGGATGAGGGCCCACACTCCCAGCATTCACACCTTCTCCCCACCAGAGCTGACTCAGGACCCACTGCAAAGCTGACTTTATGGCTGAGGGAGTTGGTAGAGGTTTCCGAGCCAGTGGCTCCATTGGACTTTTGCTGCCCCCTCCTTTGATGGAAGACCAAAACCAGCCTGTGCTTTTTGTGATTTTCCAAGCCTGATATCCATTCTGTGGATCTGGCAAACTCCAACTGAGCAAACAAATTTGCTACAGCCTCGGCAAACCCTCTCCAGTCAAGAGTTACTAGCTCAGGACATATAAGTCAGAGCCAGGGCACAGAGTTATCAAAAATCTGGGCAATCTGGTCTCTGAGGGAGGAGGACTAGGAAAGGGTATGATTAAAGGGCCGGGTCCTTGGGCTGAAAAACAAGGGCAGGGGTATGGCCAGTAGAGGGATGACATGGGTGTCATAAGCAGGACTGGACCCTCGGATTGAAGAGGCAAGGAGATGTACCACTGGAGCTGTGTTTAGGGGTCTTTAGACTTATGATTTGACAAAGAAGTAGCTAAGAGGTCCAAAATGATGATTAATGGCTGGAGAACAGTCTGGGCATGGTTAAAGTCCCTGACCCTGGAATCTGAAAGGCTGCAGAGGGAGTGTACTTAAAGCGTCCCTGGAACTGGAGGATATGAACAGATCATTAGGGAACAGCAATGCTTCAACGGATAGAGAAGGATTCAGCAGAGACCTGAATAGACTGGAAGGAACATAACCTAGGGAAGGGAGCTTTCACAGAAGCCAAAGTGAGCGATCAGTTAGGAGCAGAGGCAACTCAGCTCCCAAAGACCAGGGAAATTCCTTCCCCTCAGTCAACATGTCTCCAGAACCTACATCCTCCTCCCCAAGCAAAGGCTCAGATTCTCCAATAAGTCTACTAGATTGATTTGGGACTTATTTTTTCTCAAGGGTTGAATTCATGCAGGAAATCCAGGTTGAGAGCTTGAATTCCTTTCCAGACAGAGTGACTAAGACATACAGCCTGAACTTACTGAAGATTTTATGAGCAGGACAGGAAAACATGGTGAAGAATTCATGTTTGAAAATAAAACAAGTTGATCATTCTTACTTAAATAAAGCCTTCTACTTTTTTAATTCCATCTGATTACAGAAAGTGGAAAAAACACATTCAGTTGTTACTGCCATCCTCACTCTCCTAAGAAGTAGACTTCTGCAAGGTGAGTGAGGTAGCGAATTGATCCATGAGGAGTGACATTGGGCTAAGGCTCCACCCACAAACCCCGCCCACACAGGCCTCCCTGAGTGGCTCCTCTGCTGCAAGATGAGATGTAACTTACTGGTTAAGCTTCTCAGTCTCCCTCCCTGCCTTGTAAAGCTTCTCCCAAATAAGCAGTTCTCTGATCCCATGATACATACTGAGATGTGCTTCTCCTGAGTCCTCAGCCATTCTCCCCACACACACACAGCTTTTATTCTGTATGCTCTGGGGTTTGTTGAGGGGTGACTTATAGCCAAAGCCTTGTCCATACTCCTCATGCACTTACACGATCTTAGAGTGGATTCCCTAGGGAGACAAAAAAGGTGGAGAACTGAGTGGTTTACTGGGCAGAGGAAGAAGCTGACCTGCAAGGTGTTTGAGATGGTTCAGTCCAATGGGGACCTCGGGATCTGGGATGATCCTGTGAAGTTGTCCCAGCAGAGTCAAGGGCTGAGTTCTGTCTCCCCACACCGATCAGTCATTGGCCAGGAGGTGCCCCTTAGGCAGGTGCAGTTCCTTGTGGCTGAGAGCAGGTCCAGTGAGGAATTCATCTCTGAGCCACCAGGAGCAGTCAGCTGGGGCAGCCCCAGAGTGTCCCCACACAAGGATTCTCCCGTGTGTGAAGGCTGACTGATCATCAGCCTTGCCCGCACTCCCTGCAAACACCCAGCTCCTCCCTGAGTGAGCCTGCTGGTTCTTCGGCCAATGCTGGCCGACACTCCCTGAACGCGTGATTTCTTCCCAAGTCGGCTGCTGGAGTCCAGTAAATGCTAACTCTTTGCTAAAGCCTCCCCATGGTCCCTGCACGCACACACCTCCCATCTTTGTGCATCCTCTTTGGGCACTGAGGACTGACTATGGCTACAGTTACCCACACTGCGGGCAAAGGCTCCCCTCTGGAATGTGCCTTGGTGCCTGCCAAAGGCCAACACATCTCTGAAGCTTCACTCACCCTCCACACACACACACACACACATAGACCACTCCTCTCCGGCACAAAGTGAGGTTTGACTAATTGCTAAAGTCCTGCCCATGACCCCTGCTACACCATGCTTCTCCCCCTCAGTGTGTCCTCTGGTGTCTGGTAAGATTTGACTTGTGGCTAAAGCCTCGCCCGCACTCCCTGCAGACAGAATGCTTCTCCCCCGAGTGCGTCCTCTGGTGCAGGAGGAGCAGTGATTTCCGGCTAACGCTCCACCCACACTCCTTGCACACGTAAGGCTTCTCCCCTGAGTGTGTCCTCTCATGTATGACGAGGGTGGACTTATCACAAAAGCCTCGCCTACACTGCCTGCAGATATAAGGCTTCTCATCTGAGTGCGTCCTCTGGTGTCTGATGAGATTTGACTTCTGGCTAAAGCCTAGGCCACACTCCCTGCAAACATAATGCTTCTCCCCCGAGTGCGCCCTCTGGTGAATGAGGAGGAGGGATTTCCGGCTAAAGCCTCGGCCACACTCACCGCACACGTAAGGCTTCTCCCCCGAGTGCGTCCTCTCGTGTATGACGAGGGTGGACCTATCACAAAAGCCTCGCCCGCACTCCCGACAAGCATAAGGCTTCTCCCCTGAGTGCGTCCTCTGGTGTTTCCTGAGAGTTGACTTATCACTAAAGCCGCGTGCACACTCCCGGCACACGTAGGGTTTCTCCCCGGTGTATCCTCTGGTGTCTGATGAAGGAGGACTTCTCGCTGAAGCCTTGCGCACACGCACTGCACACATAGGGCTTCTCCCCGAGTGAGTCCACTGATGGCTAATGAGGACTGACTTATTTCTAAAGCTCTGCCCACACTCCCTGCACAAATAAGGCTTCTCTT